AAAAGGCTCCAAGCCACGAGGAGATGGTTGATGAACCTGTGCAGGCAGAATTCTTTCATAAAGATTTAGAGGAACAGACCCAAAGAGTAATCCTAAATATGTATGATTGTCTGAAAAACGAAAATCCAGATTCCTCGCAAAATCAAATTTTAAACAGAATTTGTATCCTGACAAAAATCAGTCGGTCTACCATTTATCGGGTTATAAAAAGGGGAGATGTAGTCAACCATTCCTTCCACAGAAAGCGCATAGGGCAAAAATTAAAAAGAATAGACGTGGGTTTTCAGGAAGATATTCGTCGTATAATATACGGATTTTATAAAGAAAATTTGGTGCCCACGTTGTAAATGATACGGGATAAATTAAAAGATTATCCTGAAGATTTTTATAATTACAAATGCTTAGACTCACTGCACTGTATTGTAAAACTGTGTGGTTTTCAATACAAAAAATTAGATAAAAGAATGGTGATTATGGAGTCGTCTCGAATCGTTGAATTGCGCCAAGAATTTTTGCACAAAGTTAAAATCTATAGAGAGCAGAAAAGAAATCTGATTTACCTGGATGAAACGTGGTATGATACCCATGATGTTGTGCAGTACGGCTGGGTTGACGACAGCAACAAGTGCATTTTAAATGCACCATGCAACCGTGGAAAACGAATCATTATTCTCCATGCTGGCAGTGAAAATGGATTTATACCTAATGCCTTGCTGTTATCTGCCAAAAATATCAAAGAATCATGTGCCGACTATCATGAGGACATGACCTCCGACTTATTTGAAAAGTGGATAGAGCAGCAGTTAATACCAAACATTTCCCCAAATTCAGTGATTATTATGGACAATGCGCCATACCATTCCCCACAGAAAAACAAAATTCCGAATACAGGCACAAAAAAACAAGACATTATTGATTTTATGAAGGATAAGGGAATGGAAATACCACAAAAATAAACCAAAGCCATATTATTGGATCTTATTAAAAGACAAAAATTTTAAAAAGAGTATGTTGTTGACAATCTGCTTCAGCAAAATGGCCATGAAGTATTACGTCTACCTCCCTATTACTGCATTTTTAACCCGATTGAGTTGGTCTGGGCTGCTTTAAAAAAAAAGTAAGAAAACATAATCAGACCCCTCAATTAAGTGAATCGCTATTGGCCACAATAAGAGATGCAGTATCTCATATTGCTGCCACATACCTATGGAAGCAGTGTTCTAGGCATATTATTGAAAAAGAAAATGAATATTGTGTTTTGCCTCCTGTAAATCCCGTTATAATTCCTCTACAAGATGACTCTAGCGACAGCTCCGAAGGCGAGGATGATATATAAATACCTATAATGTAAGTCTTTATATACCTTTTTATATACCTACCTGCTATGTAAATATTTGCCTATGTCAAACGTTGGAATTCTGTAATTTTTCCATTTCTTAACTTTCAGTCAACATAAATTAAACTCCCAATATAAGTATTTTTTATCCCAAATCAAAAAAATAAGAAGATAGTAAAATCCATTTATTGTGATATAAAAACATTATTATTATCGTTCTAAATGCCGCACGCCTATGATACGTCATGAAATTACAAAGGACGCGCCGACCAAAGGTTTTTATGCTACTTCAAGAGACTTCAGATACACCATACATGCATGATTGTGCACTAGCGCATTTCAGTGTAGCGGTTCGTAATTATTTACAAACTGTTTATCCAAATCGTTGGATTGGCCGCGGTGGGCAACAAGAATGGCCACCAAGGTCGCCAGACCTCAACAGTTTATATTTCTTTTTGTCGGACTATCTTAAGACACTAGTGTACACAAGTCCACAAGTCCACAAGTACACAAGGAGGGCGGAAGTATGCATACTAAGTGAACGGGCATTTTCAACAATTTTTGTAATCATTTCGTTAGTTTTAATGGTATGTTGATGTTTTCAGTTGTTGTTGTTCATTACCCCTAATGTGTTTAATTTTTCCAATTAAACTAATAATAATCTTGCAAGTTAGACAATATAACGGATTTTATTTTTTTACTCAAAAGTGGCGCATCAAAGGAAAACAATTCAAGAGAGATCATTTGGGAAATTCAAAATCAAAAATAATTTTTATTTAGCAAAAAACCATTGGCGTACCATTGTTTTCTTAAGAAATATCGAAGACAATACATGTACGCACCCCACTGTTAAAGCTAAAAATTATTTTTTCATTGAAAAATATGCAGCTTTATTAACTTTCACTACGTACTAAATATCAGTGAAATATCTGAAGCTGTTCTGAAAACATTAATTAATTTCCATTTTTTTCCTAAAACTTCAACACCCCGAGTTCTTGTAATGAAACATTTTTGCACCAAAGTTTATAAAGCAATCTAACATTAATTTTTCATGTAGATTCACACCCTTTACTTTACGCATTCTATTAAGGAACCTGTATACAGATTAGTTGAGAAAATTATTGATAATGAATAGTAAGGAATAATGCGTTGAAACTTCATTTATATAATTTATATGGCTTATGAAATTCAATCATAACAAACATTTATAATAAGAAAGACGCGAGGAATTTATTACAATTGTTCTAACGTAAGACAAATTTGACGATGAAAAATAGTACATGTTTTCTAATGTTTACATTACGGTTAGCTTTGTGGCCGCACAGAGTATCAGTAGCCAATAGCGATAGAGCAATTTGGGTAAAATTTCGGGAGCAATGTGCTAAGACATTTTGAACCAACTCTAAACATTGACTTTTTTTTGAGTCCCGTTTTTGTCGTAAACTATTCTACAGTGACTTATAAACATTGTTTTCGTACTCTTCTTAACTTCCATCATTCAACATATTTGTTTCGTAGCTAAAAATATTGACATCCCAACTGCCCACGAGTAAACAGGGAAATAATTGCGGGTTATTCTCTAGCTTAGCTAAACCAGCTTTTTTTTGGACCAAGGACCAAAAAATAATAAAATGGATTTTTGTCTGGATATAACGCATTAAACAACCGAGCAGTAGCTCTTACAATGCTCCCATTTTGGTAAAACACTTCTGTTATTTATACCCTTCCTTGAATTGAGTCGGTCATTGTTCAATATTTATCACAACTAAGTAGGTAACTTAACAATTTGAAATTAAAAATAAAGTTTTTCTCTGGCATGGGATGACACTGACTGATGCTAAATGTTCTTGCTGGTATCCATGATTATTATTAGTGTAAAGCAATATCTATTTTTGGATCACCCTGTATTGTTCGACTATAGATGAAAAGGCGTGTGATTAATATTGACGTGTGCGAGCGTTTCTCCCAAAATATACCAGAAGAGTCACAAATGAGGGTGCGACCTTTCGTTGGACCGCCCTGTATGAAGTAGTTCTTGATTTAATATGAGAACTAGTGGTCCGTCTTTCACAAATCCTATAATTTCGCCCACATTCATTATATACTAAGTGACATATAAATCCGAACACCCAGTTTAAATGGTTTTATTTTAATAAAATTTTGTATAAGTATAGTACTTAATGAAGCATAATAAGTAAATGATAGAAATTTCAAAATGATTGCACTGCTTTAAAGCCCTTTGACCTTTAATAATGTGTGGATGCACCCTGATGTGCTACGCATTCTCCAACGCGCCTAGGCATGCTTCTGATCAGATGGTCAATGTCCTCCTGTGGTATCTCATTCCAGGCAACCACCAACTCCTCTCGAAGTGCTTCTAGAGTCTGAGGAGGACGTTGCAAATTGAGCAATCTCCTACCCATCATATCCCACACGTGCTCAATTGGGGATAAGTCGGGAGATCTTGGTGGCCATGGAAACAATGTGACATCATTATGTTGAAAGAAGTCTATTGCGACTCTTGCAACATGTGGTCGGGCATTATCTTGTTGGAAAGTTGGATCTGCCAGGGTGTCAATATAGGGTAAAAGATGGGGTTCTAGAACTTCGTGGATATAACGCTGCGCGTTCATGTTACCTCTGATGAAGATTAAAGGTGACCTGGAACCATAAGCTATAGCACCCCAAACCATAACTCCAACAGTGTGATGAACATGTCTTTCAACAAAAAACTGTGGATTCCTCCTTTCACCACGTCGCCTTCTAACCCTGGCACGACCATCGTGCATGCCTAAACAAAATCGAGACTCGTCACTAAAGACAATACTGTTCCATTCCTGATCCCAGAGTGACCGTTGTCTGCACCACTCAAGGCGATTACGTCGGTGTTCTCTAGTTAAAGGGTGGACCCAGTGTGGCCGGTATGAAAACAAGCCAAAACTTCTCATTCGTCGGTAAACACTTCGCATGCCAATAGGTCTTCCGTGTTCTGCAAACCATTCATTTGCAATGTACCTGGTAGTGGAGAAACGGTCCCTTAAGGCCAATAATCTTAGGCGGCGATCTTCACGGTCTGTTGTTCTACGGCGGCGTCCAGTGCCCCTTGCTCTTTGCGTACGGCCTTCTCGAAGCCATGCCTGACAACACCTAACCACAGTGTCTACACTTCTTTGCACTCTAACTGCAATTGCCCGAAAAGAAAGTCCAGCTTCCCGAAGTCCCACTATACGGCCCCTATCAAACTCACTAAGTTGACGAAATCGTACAGGTCTCCGTACTCTAGGCATCGTAACCGATCGTAAAGGATGTCAAGAACCAAAATCCGCCAACGTTGATTCTTTACTGCGGCTGAAATATTCATTTTTAGAGCGTTAGTGAATTAAAAAAAAAGCAGTATAAAAACCGGAATGTCCAACTGATAAGGCTGAAAATTTGTTCACTTGTTATTTACAGTAAGATAAATACATTCACCAACTTTTATTAAAATAAAACCATTTAAACTGGGTGTTCGGATTTATATGTCACTTAGTATATCTATTACTTCAAAAACGCATTCTCATTTGTGGCACAGGTGCAATTGTTGCTCCCTGGATTAGTAAAATCGGGCCTAACAGGTTTTCATAAGATATAGGTAAAATATTAATTTCGTATTTTTCTTCCACAGAAACTTCCTCCACCAGCGTACGGCCAACTATTTCCATCAGACCTCCCGCCTTCATATAGCGAGATCAGCCTGATGATGAAACAGAACCGCCTAGAGACGCTGCATCTGGAACCCATGCCGTCCTCAAATCAACTGCGTGATGGTGAAGTGACTGTAGTGCAAATGGCGGACTCTAACGCTAATGTGGACGAATCAGAAACCCGTTTGTCTAGGGAACCAGTGTATAGTGACGATAACGATGATAATAACAATGTCATCGTGGAAAGAGAAAATGACGTGGAAGACATAAACAACAATAATAATGTGGTTATAGCAAATGGTCATATAGAATTTGTACAGGAATTGTAAATTATTATATGTATAGCAGTATTATTTTTTGCTAGATACAATCTTTTATATCAGATCTTTGGTGATTGCAGGATGCATTCAAAAGCAGAGGATCAATGTATTTTGGGTACATACAAATAAGTGATGAGGCTGGCAACGTGGCGCTCAATGAGGCAACACTGGAAGCGCCTGCATTGGCGGGGAGATAGGGGAACATGCGATCCGCCTTCAGTACAAGTTTGAACTCGCTCGAGTCATTTGGTTGTCCGTGTCGATTATTAACAGTTTTTTCTATCGTGTTCTAAAAATGAATGACATCAATTTTGAGCAACGATGTGATATCAGGTTTTGCTTCAGTCTTGCGCACAGTGCAACTCTTGCTAAACTTCACCAGCCCTACGAAGATAGTGCTTTGTCAAGAGCCGAGGTTTTTCGGTGGTTTAAGACATTTTCAAAAGGGAGAGAGTCGATTCAAGCGGCAGGCCTTCATCTTCAAGAACCGACGAAAATATCGACAGAATAATGATAATAAAATGTACGTAAAAAAATCTTAAATGGAGCACTTTCTATGTGGAAATTTGTTTTTCCAAAATACCATTTGCAGCAATATATTGACGTCAGGGGCGGCTGGCCCTTAAGTTCTGCAGAGCTGCAGAACTGCCAAAACTTTTGTCTTAACAGAAAAAAACAGTAGTAATTTGATCATTATTTATTTTCCATGTTATCACACAAATAGAAACAATACCGGCGTGCCCCCGCAAGACACGGCGTCGAGTCTGTTTTGCAGCATTATAATCGACCAATTGTGTACTTGTCATTTTCGTCGCGACCGCAGCGTAACATTATTCATGGGCCACTTGAAAAGGGTCCGTGCACTTCTTCGACACAAGCCGCACGCGTTATTATGTCCCAAGCTGCTTCCGGAAATGCTCAAGTTCTGGTGTTCTTTGGGGATTTGAAAGATATTCAGGGATTTTTTAATAATTCTCCTCAACGCGTACAGGTACTGTACAGAATTGTGGTGAAAAAAATTCCCCAAGGAGCAACAACTCGTTGGAATTTTAATATTCGAACAATAAATGTAGTGTTTGAGAGAATCACTCATTGAATGCATGGAAGAAATAGAAGAAAATTTCACTAATGAAACCGTTTGCAAGGCAGCTTGCGGAATTCACCGTATGTTAAACGATTCTGTTTTCGTGTTTTGGTTGACATTTTTTCATCGTGTCATGCCTCACGTCGACATCTTGTTCAACCAGTTGCAGAAGAGAAAAACCGAGCCAGCGCAAGTTAAAACGGCTATCGATAATTTTGAAAAATGTATTGTCGATGTGAGAAATAAAATTGATGACATAATGAAGCTAAAAGTATTTGCACTGAACCCCAAGGCAACAAAAGGAGACACGACGTAATAATAGCAGTCACGATCACAGAGTTGACGCATTAGAAGTATGCAAACAATATAGTGAATTCTGCAAATGACAGATTTCAATTCAAAGATCATTTGGTAGCCGCATCCCTATTTTTTCCCGAACACTTTGGAGAATACTGTGGTAAGTTTCCTGGTGACAAGTTGGAAACTACCTGCTTGGCTTATCCCGAATTAGAAAAAAGTCGTTTAAAGACAGAGTTGTCTGTTATTTATGCACGGAATGATTGCCGAGATTTACATGGAACTCTGTCTCTTTTGAAATTTTTGACACAAAATAGTTTGGAGGGAACACTAAAAGAAACAAAAAAGTTATTCGAAATTATTGTTACAACTCCTATGTCAACATCAGAGGCTGAGCGCAATTTCTCAACATTGAAAAGAATCAAGACCTTTCTTCGAAATACTATGACTGTCCATTGAAAAGGAATTTATTTCGACCATGGAAAATTTCAACGGGAAGGTGATCGACATATTTCCCGCCAAGAAGGAGCACAGGATCGAACTGACATATAAAAAATAGGTAAGTTCGGATTTGCAGAACACCTGTTTTATTTTTCCACGAGCCGCCACTGCTTGACGTCAAATACAAAACAAGTGACGTTGGAGAATAGACCACACGAGTCATGATAATAAAAATAAAAGGAGGTATCTTTGCTAAAAATGAGTGAATAAATAATCTAAAATAGAGAAATAATAGGGAAAAAACGACAAATGGATAAACTAAAATATAATTGTGTAAAATTAACAAAAATAGGCTAATAAATAAACTAAAATAAATAAAAACAGTATCTTAAACAGTATTCTCTAAAGCAGCATAATGAAGATCAAATAAACAAAAAATATAATGCAGCCTGGGATCGATAATCGATATCCTGTGTTCTGTTCTGTGAGTCATGATAATAAAAATACAAGGATAAAAAAGGTATATTTGCTAAAAATGAGTGAATAAATAATCTAAAATAGTATCTTGGAGAAATAATAGGGAAAAAACGACAAATGGATAAACTAAAATATAATTGTGTAAAATTAACAAAAATAGGCTAATAAATAAACTAAAACAAATAAAAACAGTATCTTAAACAGTATTCTCTAAAGCAGCATAATAAAGATCAAATAAACAAAAAATATAATGCAGCCTGGGATCGATAATCGATATCCTGTGTTCTACTCTCCAAGGTCACTTGTTTTGTGTTGCTTTGACGTCAAGATATTTCTGGAAAATTGTGTTTTGGAAAAACAATTTTCCATATAAAAGGTGCTCCATCCATGATTTTTTTGTCCATAATTACATATTACACTGTTGTGTACACGTTAAACCTGCGATAACCCCCTAAGTACGTGGTTATGTTAAGTGTACTATCACCGATATTTTCACATACGATACTTGGGTGTATCGATACATTTCACGAGTATCGTTATCTTTCGATCCGGATTGTGACAGAAAGGGTGACTAACTTCAGATTACTTTTCTTCTTTGTTTCCTTCCGCTGATGCTGCTCACTTCACGACCTCACATAATTTATTTTGGACTGCTAGGTGTATATTAGGGGGCATTCGCAAAAATTAGGGGATTTTTATTTCAATGGGGATTTTTTATGGGGATTTCTTTTGGGGAAGCATATTTTTCTGGGGGATATATTACTATGTAAAATTGTATTAATGGCATTACATAATGTACTTGTTACGTATTTATTAAATATAATATAAAATATGTCGCTCAATAAATATTTCAAGATCGAAGAATACCTAACAAATTGTAAACCTATGGTAACAAAAAATAAATGGTATTTTTTGGGGATTATTTTCGGAAAGTGCTGAATTTAGGGGATTTTTACAATTCGACTGGGGAAACTGAGATAAACGACCTGGAAATCCTGTTGGATTCGGTTTCCGGGAATTATGCACACATGACACACAGCGTTCTTAGTATCGTTTGATTAAACATTATAGTTCAAAACAAAACATCATTGTGATAGTGTTGCCTCCTGTAAGAAGTGATTAGTGGAGATATTTTGTAAAATCGAGTTTAAGTGTGAGATGTAATTTAGAAGTTTTTTACCCGTTTTTATTAGTGAACGTATTTGATAATCTAGTCATGAAGTTGAAAGAAGTAAACATTTTTTTGAGGGTTGTAGAAAAAACAACCTCGATTTTCGGCAGTGTATATTCTGTATCGACAGGTTTCGATACTTGTGGTGTCTGTATTTTCATTCCGATATTTTAGAGTATTGATACTTCCTAAAACGATACGAATCGATAATGGTCTTGATACTTTTCGTGGATCGGAACATCCCTAGTTCCGGCACTGCTATGAGAATGGAAAAACCGTCTTCAGGGCTCTGTGGCTTGAGAAGGAAGTTCTCTTGAAAGTGGCAATATAAAATTGTAATTATAATGAAAACAGTCTCATCACTTAATTTACAGACCTCGTATTTCCGAAAATCGCAATATTGCTGCCTATAGGATATTCTGAAAACATCGCCATTCAAATTATTTTCAAACTGATTGAACAGTATATCACAACGGACGTACAGGGCGTCCCAATAGAAAGTTTATTATTAGAGGACTAATTACATAAAAACTAGGTCATCTAACGAAAATGTGTTTACTATTTATTAATCTACACAGTTTGGGAATTTGTTTTAAAAATAACATCGTCCGAATGTAAACCCTCGCGGTCACGACGCTCATTTATCCGTACACTAGGATTTCTTATGACGGCTCGGCAGGTCGACTCTGTTATGGTCGCCATTTCGTGACGGATATGTTCCTTCAAATGCGCCGTTGGCATAAACATTTGAGATAACCGCACAGGAAATATCCACATGGGTTAAATCAATCTCCCTGCAGACATTCGTCAGAAAATTTCTGACAAAAGAGCTGCAACTAAGCAAGCGAAGAGGTCTTGTCACCCAGATGACATTCACAGAGCAACGAATCTTGTTCATGAAGTGAGAAATGCTCTTCATGAATTCCGTTATGAGCAACGGAGCGACTTTCTGTCGGGGATGCTTGACTCAAGTATTCCTCTCTGGAATGTCGCTCAGAAACGGAAAGTGAGAACAACTGCCGCACATCCACGGTCCTAGGGGCATAGTCTGTAGGACAGAGGAAAAGGTCGAGGTTTTCGCTGATGCAATGGAAAGTCAGTTCTCTCCCAACTATGACTTTGATGATGACCTCGACGAGGAGCAACATATTGTAAGATCCGTCAGGAGATATTTTAGGACCAACGGCGTCAGTGGCAGTAGTGTCTCCCTTAGTGATTTTTCCTCAGAGAAATCTTCAGAAGATTCCTCAACTGAAGAGCTGCATGGCACATCAGCGGAATCTCCTGAGACTCCGCATTGCACACCAGCAGAGCTCCAAGGTCATATTAAAGACCTCAAGGTGCGTAAAGCTCCTGGAGAGGATGGAATCACTAATAAGGCGCTGAAGTTACTTTCGCGGAAGTCCTTAACTTATCTCGTGGCAATAATCAATGCCATGCTAAGGACCCAGCACTTCCCAACGGCGTGGAAGACCGCTGATGTGATAATGATTCGAAAGAAGGTGGGTTCGATATTCCCCCAGGATTACCACCCCATTAGTCTACTGTCAGCTCCTTCTAAGCTCGCTGAAAAGGTGATTATACGTCACCTAGAAAATTTCTCGGCAGACCACAATGTGATTCCTGACGTGCAATTTGGCTTTCGGTCTGAGCATAGTACGGAGCTACAGGCCATAAGGTTTGTTGAACAAGTAACCAGGGGATTCACCCGTAACGAAAGTACTGGCATCTTGCTTCTGGATGTCTCAAAGGCATTTGACAAGGTGTGGCACAAGGGCCTACAAATTGATCCATAAGGGCTTCCCCTTCTGGCTCCTAAAACTTTTGAAATCCTTCCTCGAGGGTAGGAAATTTCAGATCAAAATTAATATCGTTCTGTCGACAACACGGCCCATCAAAGCCGGTGTCCCTCAGGGTTCGGTTCTTGGACCAGTCCTTTATTCACTTTTTATTCATGACGTCCCTTGCCCCAGCAACTGTGAAATCTCTAAGCTGATGACACTGCCCTGGACTGTAGTGGACGAGGTATTGGAATGGGCGAATGGGTGGCTGATTAAAATTGATCATTCGAAAACGCAGGCAATCTATTGTACCATGGGAAAGCTCTGCTAAGTATCTCAGTATCACTCTTGACAAGGGAATGACCTGGCAGAAGCACACTGAAGCGTTAACAACTAAATGCCAAATCTCATTTCGGCAACTCTACCCTATACTATCTAGAACATCAAAATTAAGTTTGATCAACAAAGTTCGGCTATACAAGATGGTTATTAGACCAACGATCACTTACGCAAGTGCGGCTTGGTGTTTTCTCGCCAAAACGCATTTGCGGAGCCTGCAAGTTTTGCAGAACAGAACCTTGCGTACAATCACTAACGCCCCATGGTATGTTCCGCACCCTAAGCGGAAATCATACCCCTAGACCAACGAGCCATGCTTTTTTTAAATTAAACTTATTTTCATTCAGTGCATTTTTGGCACGCTTTGTAGTGACATCATAACTCATGATTTGTCATTTGATATATTTTTTTGTTATGCTACTGTCGAGTTTTTGACATACCATCTGTTTAGAAAGTATTTATGGCTTATGCTTATTAATACAAATTACATTTAAAACAGTGAAACATTTATATACCCTTTCTATGTTGTTAATATTGTTCTTATATAATGGAGTAAATAAATGTCTACTACTTCTTGTACCCTAAGTGTTTTTACTCTCTACAAGAGTTTTATAATTTTTAATAATTATTTATCTCTTTTTTGATTATATTACTTATTATACATTTATACTGCATATTTTTTATATTCTTCTATCCAACTATTTATACATCTAAGCAAACATACTGTTTTTGCTATTTATTTTATAACTTGTTGTCATCTATTTTATTCTAATTTAGCCATGTGTATATTTTTCTTTTGCTTATGTAAATCCGACCTTTTCCTGTTGACGTTTCATATCCTCAAAGCAATTTGAATAAAAGTTATTATTACTATTAGTAGTAATACGGGACATAACAGCAAGATAATAACAACAAGTAGCCGCTTTTCTTCTATGCTTTTTTGTTGGCATCTTTGACCGGTGATTAATTGATAAAGATTAATAATTATATGATGTGCTTTTCTGTTTTTCTCACGTAGCTACTGTGGAAACAGCTGAGCTCAGAGACAAGCTGTCTCATTTGAGAGCAAAAGTTACAAGTATTATAACTCAAGGGTTTTAGAGAAATGCTCATGTTCTAACGATACATTTCTGTCTTAAGAATTCAGTCTCCTTGTGGACACTTAGCCATACGGTCACTTTAGGCGATGTAGGGGTTATTCATGATTGCATTTGGTGGTCGTGGCACTCCAGTAGCGGTTTATTGAAATGTCAAGTTGTGCGCTAAACAAATATAAACTTTCTTTTGGGATACCCTGTATTATATACTGTAGTAGTAACTGGTGACACTACATGTGTATTTAACTCTCCTCCATTTTATAATACAATAAGAATTTCATAACTACAATTTTAAACTGTTTTTGAATGCTGTTCGAAATGTAGGTTAACACCAGTTCATTTGTTAAAAGAAATAAGGACGAATGTAGTTAGACTAATATAAGTTGATTGAATTTTACTTCGTATGATAAATATATACTTAGAATTACATCTAAACATTATCCTTAAGTGCCTCTTATAAAAATAATATTAGATTTCAACAAATAAGGCAAGTTATAAAATTTTTATTTAATTACGAGTGTAAATATTTGTTTACTAAATTTTTGTCGAAAACACGAGCACATTTTACGTTCAAGCATCACCTTGGTTATGACCTTCAAGACCATTTCAAGGTCAAATGGAGAAATCGAGTACTTTGCTCTAGCAAAAATGTCCGACAGCATATTTGTGAGATTTGTGGGGATTACCCAAATGTAACCTTGTCCATGGCGTTCAAGGTCAAGTCAAAATTTCCAAACGAAACTCTCGTTTTTATGCTGGAAGTGGAAAAAGCAGGAAATTTTACATCAAAATATAATATTGATAACATTTAAGCTTGACAGGACCTTGACTTTGAGGTTAGGGCCACAGTCGGATGTAAAACTTCCCGCTTTTTCGCATTTCAGAATAAAAAAGACAGGTTTCTGATCTTTTGACTTGATATTGGAGGTCATGGTCAAGGTCATGATCAAAGTCACCTCTGCTGGAACTAATTATTTCCTCTATCTTCATTTGACTTTGAAATGTCATAGCCAAGGTGATGTTTGAACGTAAAATTGTGAAAAAGAGGGGATTCCGTTTTACAATGTACACTTGACCTTGAAGATCTTAGTCAAGGTCACCATCATTTTGCCCCTTGGATCCTACAACTTTCGTTTAAAAACGTTTTATTCCATGATTTTTTAAATTAATTTCAGTACATTCAGATATATGTATGAAATGATTATGTGTAGGCTTCCGTTTGTTATGAATAACAACTTTCGAGTAGCTCATCCGAATATACCGTTATTAGTTCAGTGTTATGGATTAATATATGTATTATTTTTATCAATTCAAGTAATGAGTATCCATTCGGGAGATGTTAATCAATAAATGCTGCCAATGTATTAACTTGTGGGGATAAGAAATTTTAGATGTTGTAATGTTGACGTTGATGGACAAATACTTCATAAGTTGTAAATCTATAGGTTGACCAACAGAGCATATGAAATTAACAATCGACTTATTGACGGTCGACAAGATATTGAAAATGTCAATAACCAATACGTAAAACTATAAGAAATACCATGTAGTGAGAAGATTATACTAATATAATTAATAAATATTGAAATATACCTATTCCTTTTCCACTATTCAATAGTACTATTGTTGGTCAGCAATAGAAACTTTTCTTTACTTACCACTGTACAGTAAGTTTATCGAGCTTGAAGCTCTGTGATTCTATCTCTTTTCCAATTATAGTTTTTTTGAGATGTTTTTATTGTCTAGTATTTAATGTTATCTTGTTCAAGTAATAATTTTACCTCAGCCACGATATCTTTTTTGAGTTGACTTGATTGCAGAATATTACTCAATAAAGTTTAATGTTTGAATTGTTTAAAATTTCTTTATATACCTACATTTTTCAGATTTTTTACTTATTTTTGATAAATAATAATTACTTTTTCATATAACTTTTTTAATTTATGGTGTTTCTAAACAAGCAATATTATACTGCAATAAAAATATGCGCGTCATGTCCATACATAGAACGTGATAACTGATTGACGGCAATTTTCACAGTTGATTTTTGCCAAGGTAGTCCGCGTACTCCTAGGCAACCCATTATACAGAGTGGGGTACGCGCGCTTGTCTACCAAGCAGCAACACTGACAGCTGTTTCCAGGTGTTACTTGAACGTAGTTGTTCGATTGATTCAACATCTGAGAGTAAAAAAGCTCATTCGCAAAAGTATCGTACAGTCAGCTATTATCCTACACATAGTATCGTACATCGTACAGTACTTGAAATTATCGTACAGAAACTATAATTCTCGGACGTCTGGCAACGCTGTAGCGAATGCGTATCGTTTTACATTTATATTTGAAAAATAATCTCAATTCGTTGGAAATTATGTTTTTATTTTAACCCCCGACATGGTGGTCTTTCAACTAGTCAACTAGTCCAACCTCTACCTCCCTCCTCGAATAATGAAATGTTTTGGGGGATTTCTTAAAAAGTTGAAAATCTGGGATTTTGGTGCGCGTTCTGGTGGAATTCTGTTTGATCCATCTGGCAACGCTGTCAATATATAGTGACCTTGAGATTTAAAAAATTACCGTAGCATGCGGCTGGGACCTAAAATTTTATACAACCTGCCATAATTTATCGATCTGATCAAAGAAATGAAATTAACTTTCTCTTGGCGGATAAAAACCACTATTACAAATTTACCAAATTAGTCTAGAAATTCAATTCTCACGAAATATTTATCATAGGTTATACACCTGTTCTTGACGTAGATGTAATGTCTTTTTCAGTTTTTCATTTATGTTTTCGCACATTTTTTAAATTTCCCATCAGATGATTTTGTAATTTTTCTTTAAAGAAACAAACTGACAGTGACAACTGACAACCAGTGACAATTGGGATTCGATTCGTCAACACACGAGACACTAAATGTCATGTATGAACAATCATGACAGGTAACGACAACTGACAACCATGACATTACTAAACGTGACATTTTTTACTTCAAAAAAATTTGAACCATCCGAAAATCCTAATTGAATACGAAGGCATCTTGTAAATTTGATGTATTCTTGCCAAGAGAAATGTAAGCGTATGGAGATATTTTATTAATTGGATTTTTTGTCTGTTGCTATTATTGATTGCAAAGTTCTTTTTTGTGAAAAATAAAAAAAATCCTACTAGTGACAAAAATGTCATCATGCAGTGTTCGAAATGTCCCTAGAACAAATAATTTTACTACGACAAATGAACTGTCAGTTTTCCGCGATTCTGAAATTAAAGAAGTAAAGAAAATTATAAAATTTCATATATTTTTTGTAAATTTATAGTTTTTGTTATTGCCCGTTGTTGTACATATAGTGTAAATTTTTGTTATGTTATAGATTAAATGGTAAGTTGCCTAGGAAGTCGAGCAAAACCTTTTTCATCAGTACAAACAAAAGGTGAAAGACATTATTTCAAAATATTGTACGTACTTTCTAAAAAATCATTCGTTCCTATTTCATATGCTTGCAGATCAGAGCTAGCTCATAACTATAGCTGGCTAATTTCTTTGTGAATGATTTTGATGTACACCTATCACCATCTATCAAAATTTTCTTTCTTTCACAGTGTGAAGACTACTTGTGCAGTTCCAGGGAGATGTCGAATAAGAATTCGTTGGTGATAGGAAATAACACGGCTGGACTAAAACAAATCGATCTGGATCAAATATGGGGTGATCTGAATGCTGGAATACAGCAGGTGTATAACCGAGAGACTATGCCAAAATCCAGATACATTCAATTGTACACTCATGTATACAACTACTGTACATCTGTTCACCAGCAGTCAAATGGACGAGGTCCAGCAAATTCAACCACGAAGAGCAAAAAATTGGCTGTAGGAGGTGGTGCACAGTTGGTTGGACTGGAGTTATACAAAAGGCTGCGGGAGTTCCTAAGGAATTACCTAGTCACTTTGTTAAGTGTAAGTGCCTGAGTGTTGAATTATTAAAAATCCATCTCAAATTATGTAATAGATTAGTGCTATGCAAGTGCATTTGATAACAAGGAGTGATTGGTGCCAACTTTTAGCAGAGTAATCAAATCGATATATGATTTAACTTTACTGTCTATAGGTATTTACTAAAGGTAAAAAATGGTCAGCCAGGTTTAATAAGTAGAAATTCACTAATCAAGATAAATCATTAAATCATCTGTTTTATAGTATGTATATTATAATTCTTATGAGATTACAAAAGTATTGAATATATATTGACAGCATATTCAAAATAAAGATAAGATAACTGGAGAAAGTATGGCTCTGATTGTTTCAAAAACATTTGTTGTAGAAAGTGATATCCAATTAAAACACAACAATCCAACCATTCAGTATTTCCTTATTAAAATGTAAAGATAGAAATTTTTCGATTATGAAATCCAATTCCGTAAATGTTAGATTTTGACACATCAAATGAAGAACAAATTAAAAATAATTACAAGAGTATGTGCTTTACTAACATTTTAAACTCCCTTGATTTTACTCACATTTTTGAGCCTTTACTTGAGGAATGATTGAAGGTAATAAAATCTAAACATCTTTAAATGCATATCAGTATTATCATCTTCAGTATCATATGGTATTCTTCAAAAAAAAATTAGTAACTGCATATATTTTTTGGTGAAGTTCATTTAAACAGCTGCATATTGCCATAGTATCCAACATTTGATCAGCTAGTTTGAAATTTTTTTAGCTAGGGCTCAAAAACTCAATTGTATCTACTTATATGATTTTCTAAACTGTGTGTGAATTCAGCAATCAAATACTATATTTAATATTCCGCTGTTCTATCTATATGACATAAATTATTCCTTGTTGACCGGAGGTAGCTAGGAGGTGATATACATTGCTGTTATTAGAAATTAATATTATAATCAATGATCAATCTGAATTATTTATTCGGTTAGTGTAAAATTTCCAAAAACTATCAAGTTTTTTCCTCTTTGACATTGCAGTAACTACTGTTACAAATTCACCAAAGTCTGTATGTATTATTGAGGGGTAAAAGATTATTATGTAAGTTTGGAGTTGTGATTAAATTAATACAAAGCCTTTTTTAATTTAATAATCCAAAAAGAGGTGGGCAATGTGATACTATTAACCATGAACACATTAAAAACAAAATGTGATAGTTCAGTGGAATTTTTTTAGCGATCTAAATCAAACTGCAACTTTTTTTGTTATGATGTCTAGAATTAGAATTCCAATATTTGGTCGATGATTGATGGATTTTTGAATGTTTTATCTAGTCCATGGGAGTTAGTCAATTGTTAATGTAACTTCTAAAACACAGACTGTATTTTACCTGTCGATAATGCCCTAGGCTTGTTGTGCCAATAAAAACCACATGAATTTGAAATTCTTCTTTAATGTAAATGTTTCATTCACAATGGTGATCTCCTCTAGAACAATGACATATAGTTGGTTTAACTGTCTTCCAGGTGAACGTTTGTTTTGTCTTTTTATTATCATATTAATATACAGTGTGTTACCACAATAACTATTTAAAATAAATAAATTTTGATTGATTGGTCGATGGTTGCAAAAGAAACCACCCATTAACTGTAATACCAAGATCCAAAATAGACATAAATATACCAGACTTTAAACTGGAATGATTGCTTCCATACTTTTATTCCCTCAACAACTTGTAAGATTTCCATACCAAAAAGTTAAAAGTAAGAGTAAAAAAAAGAATGTGGATCACAAAAGGATTAGAAAGATCATCCCGAAATTGGACTTCCTTTCACTATTCTGTCTATAACTTACATTGGATAAAACACATGTAAAAGTATCGAGAATATGGCAAAAAACAACAGTTTCTACAATTTTTTTCTCTGTAGAGGGTACTCTATGACCAAAATTTACTGTATTAAGAAATTTATAAAAAAAATGAAATTTTCAATAACTATTGTATACATGTCATAAAATCTACTATACTAAAGTTGAGTCATTTATTTTACCTGCTTGTAAAAAAAGTTGATATACCAAAAATCACCTATATAAAAGTTGCATAATAAAAGAACTAGTAAAACAGTAAAAGTTTTAAGAAATAAGAATGTAATTACACAGATTTTTTGATATTCTCGACCACTGCCATGTGAAATTATCTCAATTTGGCAAACTCTTGTGTTATTGTATGGTTTTCCGTATGAGTCTTGGGTTTGATCAGTTTTATCAGTCTTTTAGTAGTGCGTATGCCTTCATTGGTCTGATTATTTTATGCGAGAAAATGGCCCATGTTTACGAAGACGATGAACTATTGGAAATAATACTAACATACAGAGAGTGTCAACAAAATGCAGCCGCAGCATGCAGGCTGTATGCTAAAAAGTTTCCTTTAAGGAATCATCCGGCCCCACGAATGTTTGTAAATTTAGTTATTAGACTTCATGACACAGGATATTTAAAAGAACAAGAAGGAGGTCAAACTGGAAGATCTGCTCAACCTAACATGTTACAAATTGAGGAAGACATTTTAAAAATGGTCGAAGACGACCCAACAATGAGTCCTAGCGCCATAGCAGCTCAAGTTGAAGTTTCTCATAGTAAAGTGTCAAGAATAGTATTATCCTTATCATTATCAATGGGCACAAGTGTTAAAACCTTAAGATCATCCTAGAATAGTTAGTTGCATTTTACTAGTGGCTTTTAGAACAGTTTGGTATAAATGATTTTACAAAATTAATGTGTACAGATGAGGCCACATTTACATGATATGGAGTACACAATTTCCACAACAATTGTGTTTGGGCAGTAGAAAACCCGGATGCTGTAAAAAGAACTCATTTTCAACATAGATTTTCATTAAATTTGGGGCTGGCGTAAATGTCATGCTTATTGGACCCTACCTTTTGCCACTTCGACTGACTGGTGAAATTTATTTAGATTTTCTTCTACACAATCTGCCACAATTATTAGAAGATGTTGCTCAAAATGTAATGAATATATGGTTCCTACATGATGGGGCTCCGCTGCGATTTTTTTTGTCAGGCTATTTGAAAGAGTTACTGTGTCATGATGGAGCAGTAAATGCTCTGGAACAACTTTGGGGACAATTTTGAACAGTTTTTCTAAAAACGGTATCCACTTAACTTGATAATGATTTGAATTGAGTTCTACAAGATGTTAAAATAAATGACTCAGCTTTGAAAAAATCCTGTATTATCAAGTCTTAGCGTCAGCAAAAAATAATTATTATAATCAGAAAATAATAAGTGCAGGAAATAAAACCAAGGTCGTAAATGAATTAAGAAGGAAACTTCCTACTTCCACCAACATACCACCTATAAATTCTTATGTACTGAAACTAAAAAATAAAAATACTGATGATTCTTTAACAAATCTAAAATGTTTACTTTATCCTACTGACATTTATGAATTGCAGTTGCACTGATGAAATTTCTCTAAATCTTAAAGGGAATCTTTCACTTGGTGCTCTTGATATGCTCACAAAACTTATAAATATTTCTCTTAAATTTTTAAAAACATTTATAATGGACTGAAAATTTACATGTGACTCTCAGATGCTAATAAAGGAATTAACAATTAAGCCTTTTATTAAGATATTTCGGCGTGAACTTAGTAACTTTTCAATATGTAAACCATATACGTTGTGTGAGCTCTGCAATTATACAGGGTGTCCGCAAAGTTGGGGTTTTCCTTTTCAGAAACAACTACCCTTGAAATAACAAAGGTAATGTGTAGTGAAACGAGGGCGACCAAGTAAAAAAAAATAAAGGAAAAAGTACTCACTCTCCAGTTGACGAGAAGGGCTAAGTACGTCTCTGCCCGAAATCATACCGCTCCAACAGAAAATGAAATCAGCTGATGCGCTACCGAGCAGACGCAGAAACCACATTGATTGTCTTACACTTAATGGCACATCATCTAACAAGGAAGGCAAAATGTTGCGTAAAAAGTCTAGGTATTGCATCCCGTCCAATCGATTTGGGAGAATAAATGGTCCAATGAGCATACCGTTCACCATGCCAGCCCAAACATTCACCGAAAATGTTTGTTGAAAATGTGCCCGACGGACAGCGTGCGGATTTTCTATTGACCAAACATGAGTGTTGCGAAAGTTATTCACCCCATTACGCGTGAACGTAGATTCGTCTGTCACCAATATGCACTTCAAAAAGTCCGGATTATTGTCATGTTGATGCAACAACGACTCACAAAACCGCACTCTTGCTGGAAAATCGTCAGGTTGAAGGGCTTGTACACGTTGGACGTGAAACGGATACAGCCCCTCTTCACGCAGCGTTTGCCACACTTTAGTTTTTGATACTTGCACTTCTCTAGCCACGTCTCTAGTGCTTGTTGAGGGATTCTCGTCTACGCGATTACCTCTACACGCCCGACCGTAACCGTCGGTTGAAGGTTGCATACTGAGCTGACACACTGACCCCGACCCAGTTATGGCGTCGGGTTGAGCCAGTGACCTTGTACCACTCGGTGATGTCGCGGCTACAGGACGGTATTCAGATATTTTTGATGTTGCAGAGCCCTTTATCTCGGTTCCCTTAAGACATTGGTGTATATGGTACTAAGAAAAATTGCTTATGTTTTCAAGATCTACACGTCGTGTAAAGAAAAGCCCCAACTTTGCGGACACCCTGTATTTTAGTTTCAAGTTAGGTTTGTCATTAAGAATGATGGTATTCTTCGGTCAATAAACCATCTCATTCTATTTTTTTTTTGTCTTGACTGGGAAATGAAAGGGGGCTCTCAAAGCTGGCGCCACTCACGTCCATATATGGTAAAGCGCCACCACTGTGTACAAGTGTTCATCATTTTGCATATTTTTATTGTTTCTTTTGTTAACAGGATGGAATGCATCGAATGGACGAGGACGTGCTTAAATTCTACACAAACCAGTGGGAAGACTACCAGTTCTGTAGCAAAGTGCTGGATGGGGTGTGTGCTTACCTTAACAGACACTGGGTGAAACGTGAATGTGAGGAGGGTAGGAAAGGCATCTATGAGATATATCAACTAGCTCTAGTCACATGGAGGGATCATCTGTTCAAGTCACTCAATAAAGCAGTATGTGAACCTATTTTTTATTATACTTTTTTTCATCCGTTCTGTAGGTGCAGTGGTGTGTTACAATTGCCCATTTATTTTTCGCATGTTATAATAATATTCCATATTTCTTAGATAAGGTAAAATTTTGAAGAGAGAGATTTTATGTTTGAACCTTGAAGTTGGGAGTAAATTGTCATGTTGCTATACACACATTTGTGTGTTTGTTTGTTGAAGATTTATTTAGCATTAATACTACAATGTCAGTTTTGTATAATTATTCGTTTATACATTTTTTGAATACATTTTCTGTAGTTTTAGATTCCTGTCTATTAAAATTACATTACTATGCATTTTGAGTATTCATACAGTGATTTTTTAATTTCACCCCAAACATTTTTAAATGGCTCTAGTTTCGTCGTTATAATAATGACTATTTAATTTTGTGAAATATGGTGGTAATGAATGATTTTTTAAATTGAATATGAAAATGAGAACTAAATAAGATATGAAATTTTTTACATTCAACCACTGTAGTACTTTAACATAGACTTAATCCTGGCATATTGATTTTTATTTAAAATGATTCTCTTAGATTTATTTTTTAGAATTTGAACTTTTGAAAATATGTTTTAATTTGCTGTAAACAAGATGGTTGAACATTATAAAAAATGGAGAAGAATTATAGTGTTATACACATTTTTTTTGAACACATACTACGATTATATCAAACTGTAGAACTACATAGTGTATATTTTTTTGTTGTTGATATTTTTGAAATAATTTGTGTGAAATAGTAGCTTACTATCCACATATATACCCAGATATTCAAATGATTCGACTACTTAAAAGCGAGCATTTGAAAATTATAGCCGAAGACATAACAGAACCACTCACTTACCTAATCAACAAATGCTTTGAATCTGGCATATATCCCTCAATTTTAAAAAAAAGGTAATATAATACCGATACATAAATCAGGAACAAAAACAGGTGTTAACAACTATAGACCAATATCAATAATATCCAGTGTAGCAAAGGTTTTTGAAAAAGTTTTATCTACTAGAATGATTCGATACCTCACAAAATTCAAAATTTTAAGTGAAAATCAATATGGATTTACAGAAGGGAAGGCTACATCGGACGCAATAACTAAAATTGTAAATCAAATACATCAAAATATTGATAACAGAATTCCTTCAATCTGCATTTTTGTTGATTTAAAGGAAGCTTTCGACACAGTTAATCACAAATTATTATTAGAAGCATTGGAGAGAATTGGTTTCAGAGGAAACGTTTACTCACTGATCGAAAATTATTTGTCAAATCGCCCACAATCTGTGCAGATATTAGGATCGTTTAGTAAAGAAATGTATATTAAGTGTGGTGTCCCACAAGGAACTGTCTTAGGTCCGCTATTATTCAATATATATTTAAATGATATTTACCAAATGAATTGTGTTGGCAAAATAACCAGTTTTGCAGATGATACTGCAATATTGTATGAAGGCACTGACTGGTCTGATCTGAAAAATGTAATTGAAAATGATTTTATCAAAATTATTCGGTGGTTTAACAGCAGAAAATTATGCATTAACTATTCTAAAACACATTTTTTACCATTTGGATCTTATGCTAGACATGCCAAATTACACAAATTTTTCCTTCAACATTAATAATCAAAAAATGCAAATTAATAGAGTGCCCAACACAAAATACCTTGGAGTGGTCTTGGATCCTCACTTACGATGGGACATCCATGTCAATTATATTTTAAAGAAAATATTATATTAAATTATTTAATTATTAAAAATATCTTCGAACATTATACCATGCACTGATTGAGCCTCATCTCACATATGGTATATTAGCATGGGGAGCTGCATGTTCCTCACATATCTATAATTTAGATGTTTTTCAAAAAAGTATTCTAAAAATGATATTTAAAAAACAGAAACTTTATCCCACTGACAAATTATACGCAGATGTTGGGATGTATGATATAAGACAGCTTTATTTCTTACACAGTATCACTCACTACCATAAATTTGTAAACACCGACAAAAAATTAAACATAATCATTATACAAGGTACAAAATTCGTGGCACACTCACAGTCAGCCGCATAAATCTATAATGCAGCGGTCATATCTCTATTTAGCGCCAAAATTTTATGAAATTATACCTAAAGACTTAAAAGATTTACGTTTCGGAAATTGTTTCAAAAGGAATTTAAAAAAGTGGCTACATTCTATATCTAGGAGTGAAATTCATAAACTCATAAATACGAACATCAAGTAAATAATCTACTGTAGCTGATTTTGTCCTTTTTTGTCGTTTGTATTCTACAGTTGCAACTTAAAATTATTGGTCCATGTACAGGCGATGCCTTCTATTGGGCCTGTTTTGATTTTATATTTATTTACTCATATTGTTTGTTATTTTTGTACATTGAGTGAATAAATATTATTATTATTATTACTTCAATTTTTCATCATTAAAATAATGCTTAATCCTTCGTGTTTTTGTGAACGTAGCCGTTTCAACGATACATATCCTAATTTGCCCTTGTAGGTAACCAATGCTGTGTTAAAACTGATAGAAAAAGAGAGGAACGGCGAAACAATTAATACACGCCTCGTTTCTGGCGTGATCAACTGCTATGTGGAGTTGGGACTCAACGAGGAGGAACCTGGAGCCAAGGGACCGAACTTGAGCGTGTACAAAGAGAGTTTTGAAAATGTTTTCTTGGAGGACACTGAAAGGTTCTACAATAGGGAAAGTACGACTTTCCTCGCTGAGAATCCCGTCACAGAGTATATGAAAAGGGTGAGTTATGTTTGCAAATAGAAATGCCATATCTACATGTCGTTGTTTAACTATCGAAGATGAACTGTTTTTATTGCGGGCATGTCCTTTTAAGTTTCCGCAAAATAACTTTTTTTTAATTGTTATTTATTTGTTTTGTCTGCAGGCCGAACAACGTCTTCTCGAGGAACAGAAACGCGTTCAGGTGTACCTGCACGAGACGACCGGCGAACGGTTAGCGAAAACCTGCGAACGAGTCCTGATCCAGAAGCATCTGGAGTTGTTCCATTCTGAGTTCCAGCAGTTGTTGGATGACGATAAGGACGAAGACTTGGGCAGGATGTACGGCTTGGTGGCTCGCATCCCGGACGGTCTCGGAGAGCTTCGGGCGTTGTTGGAGCACCATATCGCTGCACAAGGCCTGGCTGCTATCGAACGGTGCGGCGACAGCGCACACAATGTAAGTTTTTATTCGAATTACAGTCAGGATAAATGGTGAAATAATTGAAATGTTCAATCAGCGAAATATTCGGGTTCAGAAGTCGTGGCCAAAAATGAAACATCATACACAGCATTGCCTATTTACAACGGGGTACCGCATTGATCAGTACTTGGTCTTCTGCTATTTCTAGTGTATATCAATGACCTTACCTCCAATACCATACCGCTAAAAAGTGTGTATTTTGTTTTACAATCTTATTTTTGTTCGTAGGATCCGAAGGTGTACGTAAACACCATTCTCGAGGTGCACAAGAAATACAACGCGTTGGTGTTAATCGCGTTCAGCAACGATAGCGGGTTCGTGGCCGCCCTGGACAAGGCGTGCGGTCGTTTTATAAACGCCAACGCCGTCACCAAACAGGCCAATTCGAGCAGTAAATCGCCTGAGTTGCTCGCCAAATACTGTGATCTGTTGTTGAAGAAGTCCAACAAGAACGCCGAAGAGGCGGAGCTCGAAGATACACTCAATCAAGTCGTAAGTATACGTTTTGCTATTGATCAAAATGACCTTCATAAAAATAGATTCTTGAATCTGTAAATAAACTACATTTTTTTCTAGCTGTTGTAACCATTTTAGCAGGGCTTTTCATTATTTGGAACATACATGAATAAATTGTTTGGCGTTTTTATAGTTACGTTAAGGTATTATACGGCACTTATAATATGAATGAGTCATTTTTCACTAAAGAAAACGAACAAAACTACTGCAAGTTTTGTTGTGAGGTTCGTTTTGCTAGGCACTTCGCGACGTCATGGACAACGATATGACAGTTTGGAGCGTTTTTGATGTACAGTCGAATTGATTGTTTAAAACGAAAAATACATAATATAAAAGTTACATTTTTTGGGAAACAAGTTTTTTTTGCTTATATAGATATTAAGGTATATTATTAAGCGATTTTTCGTCACCTAGCCTTTTGATATCTCTTGCAGATGGTAGTATTTAAGTACATAGAAGACAAGGACGTGTTCCAGAAATTTTACAGTAAAATGCTGGCGAAACGTCTCGTTCAACACATGTCGGCTAGTGATGACGCTGAAGCGTCAATGATCTCGAAACTTAAACAGGCTTGTGGATTCGAGTATACTTCCAAATTACAGAGGATGTTCCAGGTTAGTCTTAACATTTTCGGTATATTATCCAAGTTGACAAAGTCTAGTTCAATTTTTTGAAATAGAATGAGGAAAGAATGTGCGTTGTAACCAAACTCGATAAACTTTTTTTTTATCTTAATGTTTTGTGTGGAAATAGATCGAAAAAATTGGGGTTGATAAGTTCTACTTTACGAGGGTGATCCCAGAAGTACCCGGCCTGACCTAGAGATGGCGATAGTTGTTTGAAAAATATCATTGTATTAGAAAGTATGCAACCTATAAAGCATATGTGTCAAGTTTGAAGACGCCGCGTTGTTTAGTATTTGTTTGGCAGCCATCAATACTGATCGTTTTCAGGAATTTGTGAAAATGGAGAAAATTGGTCATCGTTATGTGGTACAATACTTTTATTTCAAAGGCCTCAGCCCAACCAATATAAAAGGTGAACTGGATTCTACTCTGGGCGAGTCTGCTCCTTCGTTTACAACAGTAAAATATTGGGTAGCAGACTTTAAACGAGGCCTACAATGTCCATCAAGTCAGCGTCGAAATATGAAATTTCAGTCTTTATTTTTGTTTGTTTTTTTTCAGAATTTCAAAGTGGTGGTCCACACATTATATTGAAAACAGTAATTTTGCATCTAAAAAACCGGCATCCAGAATATTTCGATTTTTTTCCTGGACATGCACGTAGATTTTTTTCAGTATTTTTGGAGCAGTGTGACTTATAAAATGTCGGACTCATTATAAAATAAACATTTATGTATATCTCTCAATACGTTTGCTATTTAAAAGCAGATTTAAAAATGTTTGAGGCTTGCACCTACGAAAAAATGGTACACAAATTGCATAAACAATGTCTTCATGAATTTCCGGTTCGTTTAGATATTTAATCTCGCAAAGCTACAAGAAAAGTTAAAAACTACAGTGTTTCTGGGCTCGTAGGTAGTATCTATTTTTTGGGCTCAGTCGTGTCTTATATATACGCTGCTATAAAGTTAATACTTGAAGATGATGTAGTGTGATCAGAGAGAGTCTGTAAAGTGTTTGTTCAATAGAATATGTTCTTAAACTACAAGCCACAAAACGCAATGTGCTACAGGAAATATTGTCATATGATACAACTAAAATACAATTCAATGAAATATACGGTTTAATCTGTGCCACTTTTATCTCTAAATTATGTGTTCCAGGACATTGGTGTATCCAAAGACTTGAATGAACAGTTTAGAAATCACCTACTTAAATCAAATGATTCTCTAGGAATAGACTTTAGTATTCAAGTTTTATCTTCAGGGTCGTGGCCCTTTCAACAGTCTTTCACATTTGGCTTGCCTTCAGAGGTAAGTACTATGAAATATAATAGAAATACATTATAGATAAATATGCTTCATTCTCTATTTTTAATAATAATATTCGGTTTTTCCTGATATATTTTGGTGAGATATGATATAATTTTGGACCTAAGTATATAGAAGATTTCACATTATTTCTTTTTTTTTGTGTTGAATAATTATTTGTTTTTTTTTTATTTCTAGTATCATATTCATAATTTTTATAAATGGTCGAATGTTTGTTTGTATGGTATTCTAGTATAACATTATACCAAAATAATTTTTTCATATCTAAAAGTTTTGTGTCTAAATATAGCAAAGGTTTATTATTAATTGTTTTTATGAATAGTTTTTGTATTACGTGGTAAAGATTAGGTTAGATGGTTAGTATTCGTGGATCCCCAGATAATAATTCCATAGGTTATGTGGCATTGTTTATTTTTATTTCTAGTATCATATTCATAATTTTTATAAATGGTCGAATGTTTGTTTGTATGGAATTCTAGTATAACATTATACCAAAATAATTTTTTCATATCTAAAAGTTTTGTTTCTAAATATAGCAAAGGTTTATTATTAATTGTTTTTATGAATAGTTTTTGTATTACTTGGTAAAGATTAGGTTAGATGGTTATTATTTGTGGATCCCCAGATAATAATTCCATAGGTTATGTGGCATTCAAATAATGTTTGATACAAAAAAATTTAATTTAGTCTCATTGAAAATTTGTCTGTAGTATCTGAATTTATATAATAGAAATCTAAGTTACTTTTTAATATATTGGATATGTTCATCCTAACGAAGATGACAGTCTAAAACAATTCTGAGATATTTATGGTTTAGTTTACGTGATATACAGGGTGTCCCAGAAGGCGACGTCAAGCCGAAACCGGGTGATAGGCAAAGTCATAACAGCTATCAGAAAAATATTTAAAAAAATTTTATGTATGTGTTTTGAAAATTATAGGTCTTTGAAAAAGATATAGAAATTTCTCACCCTACGGCAGTCTATCAACTCCTGTTACTACAAATATTAACTTTTTTTAGATTTTATTTTTACAATGTAATGATGAATATTGCATCTTCAAACTGGTGTCTCAACCTTACTGCCACCTTTTCTCGTTCAGGAAAAATTGCCACTTATTTCCCAACCAAGTATTCCAAAGTAAAACTTTGCTCAACTTTAACTGGCTGTACTGGAAAAAATGTACTACGAGAGTTTGGCAAGTAACCTTAAAAGTTGGCGCATTTAATAACGATTCCAAAATGGTATAACACTTAGAAGATTACTCTTGACTGCTTGGGTTTATTTAGGTTTTTTTGCAAAATCATTTAGAAAATTTATTTGAGGACGTTCCACTGAGTATTTACAGGGACATGCGGTTTCAGCATGATGGCTGCCCAGCGCACTATGCACTCTCAGTGAGAGAGTATCTCGATCAAAACTTTCCAGGCAGATGGATAGGGCGGTCTGGTACAATACCGTGGCCAGCCCGATCACCTGATTTGAATCCGTGAGATTTTTTTTACTAGGGAACTGTAAAAGAAAAAGTGTATTTCAAGCCGATTCAAAATGTAGCTGAGCTACGGCAAAGACTATTGAAAGCAGCTGAGTTTGTTAATAACCGTGGATTCGCTCGTTTAATAACCCGATCTTTTTTAAGAAGATGTCGAGCGTGTATTGCGGCTGAAGGAAAACAGTTTGAGCATTTGCTGTAAAGGTAAATCATCATCAGCAGCATTTTGACGCCCACTGTTGTGCAAACAGTTATCCTTAAGGGTCCTTGTGCGTTTTCATAATCGCTGTGTAATTAGGAAATTTTGAAAAATTTTCATCAGTTTTCCTTCAAATAAAAATTGTGCATAAGTTAACGAGTAATCTTCTATGTGTTATACCATTTTGGAATCGTTATTAAATGCGCCAACTTTTAAGGTTACTTGCCAAACTCTCGTAGTACATTTTTTTCCAGTACAGCCAGTTAAAGTTCAGCAAAGTTTTACTTTGGAATACTTGGTTGGGAAATAAGTAGCAATTTTTCCTGAACGAGAAAAGTTGGCAGTAAGGTTGAGACACCAGTTTGAAGATGCATTATTCATCATTACATTGTAAAAATAAAATCCGAAAAAAGTTAATATTTGTAGTAACAGGAGTTGACAGACTGCCGTAGGGTGTGAAATTTCTATATTTTTTTCAAAGACCTATAATTTTCAAAACACATACATAAAATTTTTTTAAATATTTTTCTGATAGCTGTTATGACTTTGCCTATCACCCGGTTTCGGCTTGACGTCGACTTCTGGGACACCCTGTATATTCATTTTGGAGATTTGTTTTCTTCATATTTAGCTTATTATATAGCAGTAATTTATTTCTGTAACAGGTGAAGGGAATGAAATAGGTTTTTATATAATTAATAGTTAATAATTGATTATCAAACCAGTCTGTTATCCGTACCAAATCTTTTTCGATTCCTTCTTTTAATTTTGTCCAAGTTCTTGCTTTATGGATGATAGTGGTGTCATCTGCAAATCTTATTTTTTTACTTTTTGTATATTATATTATCAGCTAATACAACGTTTTTTAACTTTCAGTTGGAACGAAGCGTACATAGATTTACAAATTTCTATTCTGGTCAACATTCAGGTAGGAAATTGAACTGGCTGTATAATATGTCCAAAGGGGAACTCAACACGAATTGCTTTAAAAATAGGTGAGTCTGAGAAATACTCATTTGAGATACAGTCGTAATCATAGACTGTTTTTTGGTAACATAGTCTCCAAGGAGACGCTCAACCGTACGCGGTATTTGGACGTTTACAGTTTACATCCTCACAGCCATGTTTATTTATTTGTTTGTTTGTTGTAGACTTATTCAGCATTAATGCTACAATATCAGTTACACTGTATATATCACATAATACTATGAATTCTGGCTTACCATGTATTATTTTAATTTCCCTTTGAATATGTTCAAACTGGCACACATATTGATATCATTACCTGATTTACTTGTCTCAGTGAAGTTGGCCCAACTACCAAAGCTACGTTTTTTTTATGGAATTTGTCATAATGGCCTAGACGTATTAAAAACCAAGATAGGTATATTTCCGATAACATACGGTATTTTTATTTAATATTATCCTAAAATACTACATTTTTTTGTAACAAATAAAAAATATCTTAGAATTCGAAAAAACTGCCGAATCAACGAAACCACATAGCACCAAATCATCACTGTGTTACATCGCCTTTTTGACTGATTACTGCTTCGATACGTCTTGACATAGTGTCAACTAATGTTTGGCAGTCATTAGTAGTAGTAGTAGAAAGATTTATTTAGCACATTTGGCTACATAAACAGAATAATTGTAAACAACTTAGAACTAGTAAATTCAAGCCATATGGTGTATGATGTAAATGCTGGGCAACCTATTATTGTAGATTTAACAAGTGATTTCTCAATTTTACTTTAAATTTTGTCAAAGTTTTCTGGTCTTTTATCTCCGAATATAATTTATTATATTCAATCAACCCTTGATGGAATACAGATTTGTAGCATATGTTATACTTTTTGGTCATTAAATGGAAGTCATCTTTATTTCTGGTATTATGTAAATGATGGTCGACATTTGATGATGTTAAATTAGTTAGACTTGATGGAAATATATTATTTTTTACTTTATAATTACAAGATATTTGATAAATTTTTTTACATTGAACCATTTTAATTTGCTAAGCATTTGCCTAATTGGAGTATATTTATCTTTATTTAGTATTATTCTCATGCACTTATTTTGTAAAATTTGCAGTCTTTCAAAAACGGAATTATTTGCTAAATATAGAATAGTCGAACAGTACAAGAAATTTGGAAGAATGATGGTATTATAGATAATTTTTCTGCTATATGAACTCAGACATCCAGAAACTCGATAAATATCCCACTTTACTATTAATCTTATTTATAACTTTTTCATAATGAATATCAAAAATTAATCGAGAGTCAACAAAAACCCCCAGGTATTTAAAATTTTCTACGAATTCAATATCTTCACCATCAATATTTAGTTGAACATTTGTACATTGTTTTTTCCGATTAACAAGGCTTTCGTTTTACTTGCATTTAATTTTAGTCTGTTAGATGCTAACCATTTTGAGACAAGCTTCAAGTCTTCATTTATATCAGAGATACCAGACTGAATATTTTTAGTACTTATATAAATCATAGTGTCATCGGCGAAAATCTGAATTTTGACTATGGCAGGTAAATCATTTATGTATAAAATAAAAAGAAGTGGTCCCAGGATACTGCCCTGTGGAACACCCAACGTATTTTCAATTTTTGATGAAATAGTGTGATTAACTTTTGTAACTTGCATCCTTTTAGACAAACAATTTCTAAACCAATCTAAAACACTTCCTGTTATACCATATGCCTTCAATTTACCTAACAAAATATCTCTATCAATCGTTTCAGATGCCCTCTTCAAATCCAAAAATACTGCTATGACAACTTCTTCTGAGTCTATGGCTCTTCTCCAATTCTCAGTTACCAACTGGAAAGCTGTTTCTGTGGAATATTTTTTTCGAAAGCCTGCTTGCGCCTCCACTAAAATTTTGTTTCCTTCTATAAACTGCATTAATTGGTCATGCACTATGGACTAGAATTTTTATTTTGGGAACTGGTGTTATTGTAGAGCATTTCAAATTTTCAGGAAAAGAACTGCTTCTCAGTGAACAACTGATTCAATTTAATACAGGATATCCCAAAATTTCGAAACAGTTTTTCAGCACGTTTTTAGTAGTGATTTCGGCACAGTTGTTATTTGATTTTAAACTGTTTACTTTTTTTCTTAGATAATTCAATGATACGCTCTGAAATTTTGAAAGTGTATGTGGTGTAAAACTTTTCCAATTTTCTTGGAGACGGGTTCAGAATTCTGGAACGGTTCTTACGGGATTCGATCGGATCTTTTTCCTCATGATATGCCACAAGGTTTCAATCGGCGATAGATCTGGACAACTCGACGTCTATTTTAAAACTGAAATATTGTTTTCTGACATCCAATCTTTTACTTTTTCAGCCGTATGACAAGCGGTACCATCTTGTTGGAAGGTACATTCAATATTGTTTAAACGCATTTGTTCAATTTGGGGTAGTAAGTTGTTTTGAAGAACATTAATGTACAGGGTTCGTCAGAAAGTATAGTCAAATTGAGTAAAACAAAATTTACGTTCTAAAAGCTATATCGGCCATATGGCGCGCTTGAGCCGAAATGCAGGAATCAAGCCTCTCCCGAAATGAGCCGGCCAGCATCCGCGCCATGACGTGAAATGAGACGTCCTGGGAATTTTTGCCGAAGAAGTTCCATTGAAATGCGAGCTGTGTGAGATGTTGCCCCGTCTTGTTGGAACCACACTGTTCTGAGACGGACACGTCGACGTCGAAGTTCCGGAAAAAAAGTTGTTGTTGAATGCTTCCACCCATCTCAAAATGGTGTTACGGTCTGGTAACGAGGTAGAACGCGAAATAGAACGCGAAACTCACGTGGCGTTCGAACGACAGACTCGCCATTTTGAAAGTACCGACGTACAGTGAACACACGATGCTCAACGGTCTAAACCATCTTGCCAACTGAAACGGCGCTTCTCCCACTATCCAACACGTACTTCCCCACCGACACGGGACCAGCCCACTCTATGTAGTACCCATTCGAAAAACATGCGTTCTTTCTGACGGACCCTGTACTTATCAGCATTCATAATACCTTACACAAAGTGTAAGTTTCCCAGTCCACTTGCTAACATGGATCCCCAAATCATATTAGAAGCTGGAAACATAGACACTCATTCTGAAACACGTATTTAGTTCCTATGACAACTACTCCTACTATCAACAACGCATAGGTACTTCAAATCTGGCTTCATCACTCCAAAAAATAGAGTTCCATTGATTCGTAGACCATAATTTGTGTTCTTTGGCGCACGCTAGTCTTTTCTTCTTCAGAATCTTTGTCAGTAAGGGCTTCTCTTTTGCCTAGAAATACTGAATTAAAAACGAATAATAAAAATATAATGTACGCCTTTCTTGTAAGTTTTAAATCCCAGTTTTTGGACAGCTCTTGCTTTTGAAAACTTTTTTGTGGTTGCCTGATTCCATAATATCTTCAATTCCTTATAATTAGCACGCCGATTTTCCTTGATAATCCGTTTTAAGGCTCTTAAGTTGGTATTGGAATAACGCGGGAAACTTCCAGTTCTGGGTTGTTGAGCCACAGATCCCGTTGTTTTGTACAGTTTAATAATATTTCGAAGTGTATACCTCGATTTGTCAACACTGTCAGCGATTTATGAAGCATTTTGGCGTTTTAAATGCAAGTGAATGATCACTTTTCTTATTTCGTCAGAAACAGCTTTATCACGAGCCATTTTTAATAGTTAACTACAACACCAATGCATTGAAAGTTGATTTAAACGTCAAAAATCAGCTTCCTAGTAACGTAAAATGTTATCATTTGTCTCACAAATTTATTTTATCTAAACGAATAAACAGAGCATTCAACTTAAGTTGACTCCATCATGTATTTTGCTATACACAAATCATTTTGCGAAGAAGAAAATTTCTAAACAAGAGCGTTTTAAAAATAGTCGAGTCGGTTTTGTTATCTTTCCATAAACATTAAAAGAAACCAAAAATATTGTTTGAAATAAAATTTTAATTAGCCCTCAAATAAATTCATAAATATCATGTTTTGGGGCGTTGGGCCAGTTTCACTGAGACAGGGCTCGTATATTAATGTATCATCAGCAAATACAGCAGACGCTCGATAACGTAAACACGGGATAATGAAAACTTGCGCTAATGTAAACACAAACTTCGTTCTGTAGGATCAAACGGAACGCGCGATAACGTAAACAATGTGTACGCTCGATAACGTAAACAACTCTCGGCGCACGGAAACAGCGCGACGGTAAAATGCTGAAGCCTCGATGATTTATGTCGGGCGTCGGGGAGTCCCCGATTTATGATGTAGAGTGTAGGGGATTCACCTCTGCGATAAAATACGACAAACTCGGTCAGTCGTATAATCGTTTAGGATACGTTTATACGTACGTATGTATTTCATTTTTAAACTTAAGTGATTACATTGCACGCGTTAATATATTTTATGACTATGGCATCCACATTCTATAAAAGAAAGTGTTTAAAGTTGAGTGAGAAAGTGAAAATCATAGACGAAGTTGCACTAGGTGCGGGAGTGACACAGTTAGCAAAAAAATATGGAGTATCGAAAGCAACAATCTGTAAAATTAAGCGTATGAAAACTCAAATTTTACAAAGAACGTGCAATACATTTGGAGGTCCGGGAAAAAGAAAAACTTTAAAAAATGCACCTAAAATGGAAAATTCCCTGTATAAGTGGTTTTTAAAACAACGGGAAAATCATGTCTCAGTTAGTGGCGAAGTACTTAAACAGAGAGCGAGACTGTTGAATGAAAAACTGAAAGAAACTGAAAATTTCGTAGCTAGTGATGGCTGGCTACAATGATTCAAAACAAGTTATGGAATTAGACTGCTGTCTATATCTGGTGAAAAATTATCAGCACAACCATAATTAGTGCAACCAATCAAAGAAAAATTGATGAAAACAATTACCGAGCTAGATTTAAGAATGGAACAAATTTACAACGCAGATGAAAGTGGCCTTTATTGGAAAATGTTACCAGAGAAAACCTATGCTGCATCATTTGAAAAATCTGCCCCGGGAAGAAAGCCCGAGAAACAACGAATAACGTTTCTAGCCTGCACTAATGCTAATGGTTCACACAAAATAAAGCCACTGGTAATTGAGAAAGCCAAAAATCCGCGCTCATTTGAAAATGTTGATGACTAGCAGTATATTCCTGAAATGGTTCCACAGGTGCTTTGTCCCTCAGGTATGACCATCAATTATCACAAATGCTCTATTCATAATTTGAAGATGTGTTTTCAATTTGTAGGTAAAAGGTTTCCTAAAACAACGGAAGCTTCCAATAAAAGCGTTGTTACTATTGGATAATGCACCAAGTCATCCTCCCGAGCAACAACTGAGGAGCAGGGATGGGTCAATTTTCGTCATGTACGTAACACCGTTAATTCAACCGATGGACCAGAATATAATAAGACTCACCAAACTATACTATAGGAAGTTTCTACTTTCGTCTGTCTTATCAAAGAATCCTGAAAACTTATCTGAGGCTTTAAAAAAGTAACATTACGAGAAGCTGTTTTAGATTTACATTTGGCCTGGAATGAACTTAACCAGCAAACTATTAAAAAATGTTGGAACAATCTCTTTTGTACCAATAATGAAGATGATGAAGAAGACGATGTCCCCTTAAGCGTAATTAGAGAACATTTGCGATCCAATAATGATAATGTTATTAGTGTGTCATTGGATGTTGTTGATTTATTGAAAACAGTGAATCCCAACATTGTTTGTACTCCTGCTGATATTAATTTATGAAACGAAGATAAGCAGACGAATGATGCCGATAAGGAGGAGGATATGGACAGTGAGGATGATGAGAACGATCCCATTGAAGTCAGAAGTGTAGTGACTGACGATCAAGCTATACAAGTTTTTAACCAAGCTTTAGATTGGGCTGAAAGAAAAGAAGTTTCATACACGGATATTTTAGTTCTTCGTAAATTACGGGCACGGGCATTTGAAGACAATGCTAAGTGCAAATTTACGCAGACAAAAATTGTTAATTATTTTTCTTCTAATTAAAAAAATACTTATCGCTGTTAGAATATTTGTTTATTTTGTTATAAATAGTATGAATTAAACGTTTCTTTTAATAAATCAAATATTATATAAATCACGTTCGCTAATGTAAACATTTCGATAATGTGAACCACACTTGGATTAAATTAGTTTACATTATCGAGCGTCTGCTGTATTTGAATTTTGTAGTGTTATAAAATATCGGGAATATCGTTAATATATAGAATAAATAGTAACGGACCTAATTTGCTACCCTGTGGCGCACCTACCGAAATGTTTTTAATGCTTGATAGTATATTTTGGCCCTTTGACTTTTATTGATTAAGTAATGATATCATCTTGTTGATGATAATACCGATAAAAAAACGTGGCCATTCTCTGCTGAATCTCAACAAAAAACCGAATGGTTCGGTTCGTAATCCGAAAATATCCTTCGACAACCAACGTCGCAGATGGTTGAAAGTACGGCCAAAACAGACCGATTCACTTTATACTTTCAGTTCTATCTTGAAGAAGTCTCATAACTTTATTGTTTCTTTCCAGGTACACGTTACAAGCCAGTACATTTCAAATGGCTGTGCTGTTACAGTATAACGTCGCAGACGGTTGGACGATAGCTCAATTAGAGGAGAACACGCAGATCAAAAACGATTTTCTGGTGCAAGTGGTCCAGATACTGCTCAAAGCAAAGCTGTTAACGTGTACTGATGATGATAATGACCTCCAGCCTAATTCATTAATAGTTCTCAATACAAACTTCAAAAAGTAAGTGAACGCTCGAACCTTACGATTTACAGGGTGTCATAGAACGAGACTGTAATCTTTTGAATGCATGTAGAACACAAAAAGAGCCATAGCTCTTGGTATATTTTGGGAAAAACGCTCGGACACGTCAATTTTTATTTCTAGGGGGACGTCTTTTCATCAGTAGCCGTACAATACATGGTGATCCAAAAATGATATATTGCGTTACACTTTTTTGAATTTTCCATGAAGTTTCTGGTAACTTTTGTGTAATAAAGTTTATGCCTTTCTTCAATCGTTGTGAAGATATTTATAATAAAATTCCACTAACTTAATTCTGATAATAATAGAATGCAGGGCAAAAAAATAATCATGGATACCAGCAAGAACATTTCAGTCAGTGTCATCGTATGTCATAGAAAAACTATTAGTAGTAATAGAAAGATTTATTTAGCACGTTTGGCTACCTGAAAACAACTTAGAATTCGTAAATTTAAGCCATATGATATAAATCCTGGGTAAGCTACAATTATTGTAGATTTAACAAGTGATTCCTCAATTTTACATTGGATTTTATCAAAGTTTTCTGGTCTTTTATATCTGTGTAAAATTTATCATATTCAATCAACCCTTGATGGAATACCGATTTGTAGCATATGTTATACTTTTTGGCCATTAAATGGAAGGCTTTTTTGTCTGGTATTATATAAATGATGGTCGGCATTTGATGATGTTAAATTAGTTAGACTTGATGGAAATATATTATTTTTTTACTTTATAAATGAATATCATTACAAGATATTTGATAAAATTTTTTACAGCCATTTTAATTTGCTAAGCATTTGTCTAATTGGAGTATATTTATCTTTATTCAGTATTATTCTCATGCAATTGTTTTGTAAAATTCGCAATCTTTCAAAAATGGAATTAGTTGCTAAATATAGAACAGTCGAACAGTACAAGAAATTTGGAAGAATGGTATTATAGATAATTTTCTGCTATATGAACTCAGACATCCAGAAACTCTTGATAAATATCCCACTTTACTACTAATCTTATTGTAACTTTTTCATAATGAATATCAAAAATTAATCGAGATTCATCAAAAACCCCAAGGTATTTAAAATTTTCTATGAATTCAATATCTTCACCATCAATATTTACTTGAACATCTGTACATTGTATTTTTCGGATTAACATAGCTTTCGTTTTACTTTTATTTAATTTGAGTCTGTTAGATGCTAACCATTTTGAAACAAGTTTCAAGTCTTCATTTATATAAGAGATATCAATCTGAATACTTTTAGTACTTATATAAATCAAGGTGTCATCGGCGAAAATCTGAATTTTGCATTTTTTGACTATGGCAGGTAAATCGTTTATGTATAAAATAAAAATAAGTAGTCCCAGGATACTGCCCTGTGAAACACCCAACGTATTTTCAATTTTTGAAGAAACAGTGTCATTAACTTTTGTAACTTGCATCCTTTTAGACAAATAATTTTTAAACCAATCTAAAACACTTCCTGATATACCATGTGCCTTCAATTTACCTAACAAAATATCTCTATCAACCGTTTCAAATGCCCTCTTAAAATCCAAAAATATTGCTATGACAACTTCTTCTGAGTCTATGACTTCTCCAATTCTCAATAACCAACTGGAAAGCCGTTTCTGTGGAATATTTTCTGTGAAAGCCTGCTTGCGCCTCCACTAAAATTTTGTTTCCTTCTATAAACTGCATTAATTGGTCATGCACTATGGACTCTAATAATTTTTCAATGTCTGGTAACAATTTACTGGTTTCATATCGCTGCATCTTTTAGATTTTTTTATTTTGGGAACTGGTGTTATTGTAAAGCATTCAAATTTTCAGGAAAAGAACAATTGATTCAATTTAATACAGAATATCCCAAAATTTCGAAACAGCTTTTCAGCACGTGTTTGGTAGTGATTTCAGTACTGTTGCATTTTCTGTTTATTTTTTTTCCTAAGATAATTCAATGATTCTCGGGAAACTGATTTTCATATAGCCAGGTGCAGCATTGATAGTTTTTTTTTTTTATATCGAAACAGCCGCGCAGGCAGAAGCCTAAATGCCGGAACACCGCGGCTGCTATGATGATCCCAAAGAAATTTTGTTAATACGATTTTTGAACTGCCTAAGGTTAGTAGAACTGGGAAAAGCTTCCTCCCGTAGATTGTTCCACAATCTAGACACCCTCGGGACAAAGGAGCGGTCGTATCGGCCAGTTCTGGATGTACGAAGTTTGACACGGTTAGGATGGGATGCCGAAGTCAGGCGGGTCTGTCTGGCAGGCGCATCGCGCGGCGGCATCATGGAAGAGAGCTCTGAGGAGCAAAGCCCGTTGGTGTAGCGTTAGAAAAGAGCTAGATCGCCGACGGCCCGCGGGTGCGAAAGAGTCCCGAGACTGTCTGTTAGAGAAGAGTCATCGATCAGTCGGACCGCCCTCCTCTGGACAGCATCGAGCATGGACAATGTAGTCGGGGCGGCAGCACCCCAAATGTGTGAGCAATACTCGAGGCTAGGCCTTATCTGGGCCTTGTATAGAGTGAGAAGGTCATGCGGAGAAAAGTACTTCTTAGCCCTGAACAAATAGCCTAGCTTTTTCCCAGCAGCTGCAGCTATTGAAGAGATGTGTTCGTGCCAGATCAGGTCCTCGGTGATCTGGACTCCGACCAGCCGAAATGAATGGCTCTTTGGTAGAACTCGACCGTCCATCGAAACTGTATGAGCGCTAGGACGCTTTTTGTTCGTCAAGGTACAGTACTGTGTTTTGGAAGCATTGAACTGTACAAGATTGTTGCGTCCCCAAGCAGTGATAGCCTCCAGGTCTCTTGTCAGAGAAGAAGTCGTCGCTAGTCTTCTTTTTTCCAGCTCAGCGGCAGAGATCGGCTTGTCACTCTGAATTCCTGCATGTAGAGTGCTGTCATCAGCGAAGCTGTGGATTGGGTTGATCGTGCAGGAAAGGAGGTCGTTGATATGTAAGAGAAACAGTGTTGGAGCCAAGACCGATCCCTGGGGAACACCCGCGTTGACGTTGTGGGATGAAGAGGAGAATCCGTCAATTACGACGGATATCTTGCGGCCAGAGATAAAGTCAGCCACCCATCTGCAAAGCTTTTCTGGGAGGCCGTAGGATGGAAGTTTGCTTAAGAGGGCAGCGTGCCACAGCTGATCGAACGCTTTCGTGATGTCAAGAGCAACGACATGAGCCTCACCATGAGACTGGATGAGTTTACTCCACAGTTGCGTGACGTAAGCTAGGAGGTCCCCTGTGGATCGTTGGTGCCGGAAACCGTACTGCCTGTCGCTAATCAAGCTGTGACGTTCGAGGTAGTCCAGAAGCTCGCGATTTATGCACCTCTCCATCACTTTACTTATAACAGAAAGCAGAGCTATAGGCCTGTAGTTGTAAGGGTCGGTTTTAGATCCTTTTTTTGGGATGGGCTGTACATGAGCAAATTTCCAGTTTTCTGGGAAGGTGCCGGATTCATAAGATATCTGGAAGAGACGCGAAAGAACTGGAGCAAGCTCCGCTGCACATCTCTTCAGTACAATGGCAGGAATCAAGTCCGGACCAGAAGCTTTGTTGATGTCGAGCGACAAGAGCACTCGTCTTACGGTCTTATGCATGAATGTTACTTCCCGCATAGTGTGGGGAACCCTTTGAATTGACGGCACTTGGGCGTTGGTGGGGACGTCCATGGTGGAGTTGGCAGCAAAGATCTTGGCTAGCACTTCCGCCTTGGCCTTTGAGTCGAATACAATAGTTCCATCCTGACACGTAAGTGGTGGAAGGCTACTGTGTGAGAAGTTCTTTTCAATCTGCTTGGCCAGCGTCCAGAAAGACCGACTGCCATTGCGGCCCACAATATCAACAATACTTTCCACAAAATATTCATTTAGTTTGTTCGCAATCACCAAGGAATTTGTTTCGGTACAGTTTTCGAATTGAACTTGATTTACACAGTCATGCGGCTTTGAATTGATAAGTCTTTTCAAAGTTTTCCATATCTTTACAATGTCGCACTTGTTATTATTGATTTGTTTATCGAAGAATTTCCTTTTTCTTCTCTAATAACATACAAACATTTATTCCTAAGAGTTTTATATACCTCCCAATCATCAGTGAATATACATTTTTTGTATTGTTTGTCTCTCAAATTCTGAGCTGCCTTAATATTTCTGTTATACCAGGGTGTAATTTTTCATAATTTCAAACTTTAAAGTTATCCAGGACAAAACTACTAGTACTTGTCCATTAGAGGGAAGTTTTACGTCCCTTATTTAAAATAATCCCTTTTTAAAACTGCGTTGACACTTGACTGAAGAAAACAGTGCGTTCACTCATACGAGCCCCTTCCCACTTCAGTTGGCCCACTTCGATTTGTACTGAAATATGCCTTTATAAACTAAACATGACGAAACTATTTACTTCTAAAACAATTTATTTTCTCAAAAACATTTTAGATACACTCTAGTCGTAAAAATTACATATTTGAAATCACTTAGACCTATAACTAATAGAACATCTGAACAAATAAACAATGTGCGGAAAAATGCGCGAAGTTAACAAAGCAACAATTGAAAGATTACCATTGGGTAACACCACCTTTATTTCTTATTACGGCTGAAATTCTTTGGGGCATAGTGTTAACCAAGTTTTGTCAAAAATTTGGTGTAAAACAATCCCATATTTCTTGAAGCTTTTGTCTCAGTTTGGTGAGTGTAGGAGCAGGATGTTGTCGTAGAACCTTTTTCATCTCGTGCCACAAAGTTTCAATAGGTGACAGATCTGGACTGCTAGAAACCGATTTCAAAAGTGGTACATTATTTTCTTCCGTCCATTTTATAGTCTTTTTTGTGGTATGGCACGCTGCACCATCTTGCTGAAACACAAAATCTTGGCCGGATGTCAAACATTCTTCCATCACTGGTAAAAGCGATTCTTCTAAAATTGCCAAATATTTGTTTGTATCCACATTTCCATCAATAAAATGAAGTTTTCCTACCCCTTTTGATGACATAGTGCCCCGACCATACTGGATACTGGAAATTTCACTTTTCTCTTCAGACAGTCAACATGGAATGCTTAATTTTTTTGCGAATAACTCTACTGCGACTGTCACCAACACAAACTTCGAATCGGAGGTGTCCATTGTCTATGTTCTTTAGTCCATCTTAGCCGATTTTTCTTTAGCAGTGAAGTTAATAGTGGCTTTTCTTTGGCCTATAAACAAGTTGTGCAACTTTAGAGTTTTTACTTCACTTTTTTTTTTACAAGAAAACTTACCTTGCAAGTGCTAAATCCCAGTTTGTGGACCTCGAAATTCTCCTTCCAACAGCGTCACTCCACAGAGCACTTAATTGTAAATAATTGGCACGCCTGTTTTTCACGATTATTCTTCTTAGTGCTCTTTGGTCGGCATTTATGATATTACTTTTTTCACATATCGTGGCTTAATATTAACTGAACCAGTTACGTTATATCTTCTAACAATATTTCTCACACTGTACCGCGTCTAACAAAGTTGCAAAAAAACTAAGATTTCAATACTTGGGCCAACTGAAGTGGGAAGCGGCTCGTAGAACCGTCACGGGTTGCCGTGTTTCTAGCTACATAAAAATTTATTTACAATTGTTTTGACATTGTAAGCAAAACTAAAGGGTATCTGTTTGAAATAAAAGAAGTTTCATTGTTTTGGGACACCATTCTGAATCAAATGGCGGATACTTTCTGGAGGCTTTAAAAACAGTGATTTGATTGTCTGAATTGTTTTAGTAAAAAACTGCGCGTGAATATAAACATACCAATGAAGACAGAATTGAAGATGGAACAGGAAACGACTCACAAGCACATTGAGGAGGACAGAAAGTTACTGATACAGGCAGCAATTGTTAGGATTATGAAAATGCGCAAGGTGTTGAAACATCAGCAACTGGTCGCGGAGGTACTCAATCAGTTGTCTTCTAGATTTAAGCCTCGAGTCCACATCATAAAGGTATGTGCATATTATGAATTTAACAAAGAACTGCAGGGTACTGGAGCATAACTTTCTTTTTGCAAAGCTTAATAAAATCCCTTGTATGAATCGGAACATTTTTATTTGCTTTTCATAATGTCTAAAGTTTCGTTTTACATAGTCTTGAAAATCAAATCCCTCGATAACCTTAAAAATAGTCATCTTCAATGATTGAAAATTCAGTTTTTTTGAGATTGCCAAGTATCTAAATTAAAGCAGAAACCTTCGCCTACAACACTTCGAAGAGTAGTTTATTTATAAATCGATTTTTAAGCTAGTTGGTTAGACCAAAATTAGCGTACGTTTGATTTTCGCTGTGTAAATACGACGTCATTAAATAGAAGCCGAAACTAATGTTTTGGTTATAGCAGTGGATCGGCAGTTAACTTTTTTCGAATATACCGGGGGACTCAAAAGTTATGGAAACAACTGATTTGATTTATTGAGTGCAGTTCCAGTTTTAAAAGGTCATTGAGGCACAATCTTATTTTCCAGAAATGTATAGACATCCTCATCGAAAAGGAATACTTGGAAAGAACTGATGGTCAAAAGGATACTTACAGCTACTTAGCATGATTTTGAGCAGAGTGGCGCGTTTTATAAATAATTTATTTTTGAAAAAAAAACAGAGGTTTTGTGATTGTGGACATGTGGCATGTATAATTGTAAATATCCTAGAATTGTATTTTGATTCAAATTAAACAGCTACTAAATAAACAATTATGTATACTATGTTTCACTGATTTTGATGCTTTTTATTCTGTGCTGTATTATGTGTTTTTATTTCTGATTTGTATTGTATTGTGATCATGTGGTATGTTCGAAGTGTTCTGTTATATATTGACCCCCTCTAATTTTTTTATGACTGAAGTGTTTGTTGATGTTGATAGCTACTATACAAGCCTATTGGATAATGTTGAAGTTTGCATAAAAGAAGCTACAATCAAGACAACAATTTATAAAAGGAAAAATCGAACACTTTGGTTCTCGCAGACGTTCAAGGATTCTAAGTTAAAAAGTTTATGATTACTGGAAGTGAAAATGATTGGCTAGAATACACAAGATCAAGAAACCAATCTGTAGCAGTTCTACGAGATGAAAAGAAAGAATATTACAATGCCAAAATTGATCAGAGGACAAATAACAGCAAACATATGTGGAAAACGTTGCAAAACATTGTTTCTCCTATTAGACAAAGTAAATTATCTAAAATGATATTTGACGATGGGGTAATAACAAATGAAGAAATAATAGCAGATTGAATGAATACCTATTTCATAGAAAGTGTCAATGACATTGTAAAATCAATTATTGACGATCCCAACCAATGTCCCATTAGCTCAGATTATAATGCATCATTCAGTGAGTTTAGAACAATAAACATTAATCGTCTCAAGAAGATTATATCAAAAATTAAATCCAATCAAAATAAGAGTGAGATTTTGTCTAAAAGTGTACTTAATGAATGTTTTGATATTATTGGAGCAAGAATATTAATCCTGATAAATTACTGTTTGAAATATGGCGAATTTCCAACAAAACTGAAGTGTTCTACCATAACTCCTGTTTCTAAAGTCAAGAATTCTGAATTATACACCAATATGCGGCCAATAAATGTTCTGCCAGATGTTGAAAAAGTTTTTGAAGAAACACTCAACTGAAACAGCAACACAAATGGCTTTAGAGGACTGGAGGAGATGTATGGACAATAGGAAACATACAGTAAGAGTGTTTTTGGACTTCAAAAGGGCGTTTGAGACTATTGACAGGGATAAATTACTCACAAAATTGCATCACTACGGATTTAAAGGATCTGCATTTAAAATTCTACAAAGCTTTTTCATTGACAGAAGTCAAAAACCCAAAATTGGATCTACATTATAAAGATCAAAAGATATTTCTGTTGGTATACCACAAGGTAGTAAAAGTCCACTTCTATTTATTTTATACATTAATGACATTTGTAATATTTTAGATTGTAAACTTCAGATATTTGCAGATGATACATTAATATACATATCAGATGAAAATATAGACACTGCTTTAAAAATGCTAAATTCTGACTTGGCAAAAATCGTAAATTGGTTAAATGTAAATAAACTAAAATTGAATACTTCTAAAACAAAATGTATGCTAATAGGGAAATACCTAAGTGAAAATACTATCACAGTTAGGATAAATGCAGAAATAATTGAAAATGTTGAATCAATTGAATATTTAGGTATATATATTGATAGTAAACTAATGTTTGAAGATCACTTCGAATACATTATTTCAGAAATTGCAAAAAAAAAAACAAAATACTTTTATAGGGCTTCTCATAGTCTTAGTACCAACTACCAAGAAAATAGTTTATAATACAATCATTCTACCGCATTTACTATATTGTTCAACTATCTTGTTCACTGCCAATGAAGCTGTATTCTCAAAATTATAAGATCTTGCAAAATAAAGCTAGGAGAATAATATTGAATAAAAATAACACCAAAATAAAATCTATGTTACAAGAATTGCAGTGGTTGAATATAAAAAATTTCATATATTTGGTTATTTTTATATATAAAATAAAAAATCGCCTTTTGCCAGAACATAGAATTGAATAATCATTATCACAATTATTATACAAGAGGAAATACAGATTTTCATTTACAAAATTGTAATAGTAATTTAACTAGCAAATCAGTGTTTCACAAAGGATTACCTGAATTTAATAAACTAAATAATGATATAAAGTCTACTTGTAATTTAAAAATATTCAAAAGACAATTAAAAGAATATTTCAAGGAAAATGAAAATTCATAGAGATGCTATTTTTTTTTCTAAATATGTGTATGTTATGTAATTGTTTAGTTTTTTAGAAGAATGTAATAGTAGCAATCATGCTAAATAAATCTTGAACAAAAAAACAAAATAGGTTCTAATTTAAAGTTTTTATGCAATGACTTATTTTCGAGAAAAGCATTTAAAGTATGCATAAGACGATGGGTAACGATATGGTAGGAGTAGCATTAATATTTCTGAAACAGTTGTTAACCCTTTGCAGCATATAGCACAGTAAGGGAACCCAAAATTTTCTCAAAACCGTAAATATTCTATAATAAATGATTTTTAGTATTTTCAGACAATATTGGTGAGATCTCAAGGACGATTGGAATGCTTTGATATTTCAATAGAAGAGTTTACTGCCAAATCCAGTCAACTCGATTCTTTATGTAAATTCTTTTTTAGCTTGAGTCATAATTTTTGGAATTAAAAAATATTTTTGAAGTTCACTTTTTGACAGAAGTAGCGAAACTGGAAATAGTACATTGTATACTTTATCTGAAGTCACTTGAAACACTGAAATACCGGGTGCGTTTTATATATCTATATTTAACACGCTCTGTTGCTGCAAAAATCGCCAAATTTCGCAGCAAATATCCGTATAAGAGATCAAAGGCAGTTTCACCGGTCCACGTGGAGTAAAGCACGCCTATGCGTGGACATAGCCAATGAGAAAGCGTGTATTTCAGAGTTCGGAACAAGTGCAGGTGGCTACTGAAAATTGAAACAGTTTAGCCAGTGCCGTGTAGCGGTGAATAAACGTGTTTTCTTTAGTCTGTCCGTGTTTTTTCATAGATTTTATTAGTTTGTGTGTTTTTGACTTTTGAATACTCAGTTTACTTGTTGATTTAATTGTTGTGTTGATTGTTCTTGTGTGTCCTAAATATGGCTCTTTGGAGAGCTTGGGAAAATGCTCCAAGCCACGAGGAGATGGTTGATGAACCTGTGCAGGCAGAATTCTTTCATAAAGATTTAGAGGAACAGACCCAAAGAGTAATCCTAAATATGTATGATTGTCTGAAAAACGAAAATCCAGATTCCTCGCAAAATCAAATTTTAAACAGAATTTGTATCCTGACAAAAATCAGTCGGTCTACCATTTATCGCGTTATAAAAAGGGGATATGTAGTCAACCATTCCTTCCACAGAAAGCGCATAGGGCAAAAATTAAAAAGAATAGACGTGGGTTTTCAGGAAGATATTCGTCGTATAATATACGGATTTTATAAAGAAAATTTGGTGCCCACGTTGGAAATGATACGGGATAAATTAAAAGATTATCCTGAAGATTTTTATAATTACAAATGCTTAGACTCACTGCACTGTATTGTAAAACTGTGTGGTTTTCAATACAAAAAATTAGATAAAAGAATGGTGATTATGGAGTCGTCTCGAATCGTTGAATTGCGCCAAGAATTTTTGCACAAAGTTAAAATCTATAGAGAGCAGAAAAGAAATCTGATTTACCTGGATGAAACGTGGTATGATACCCATGATGTTGTGTAGTACGGCTGGGTTGACGACAGCAACAAGTGCATTTTAAATGCACCATGCAACCGTGGAAAACGAATCATTATTCTCCATGCTGGCAGTGAAAATGGATTTATACCTAATGCCTTGCTGTTATCTGCCAAAAATATCAAAGAATCATGTGCCGACTATCATGAGGATATGAGCTCCGACTTATTTGAAAAGTGAATAGAGCAGCAGTTAATACCAAACATTTCTCCAAATTCAGTGATTATTATGGACAATGCGCCATACCATTCCCGACAGAAAAACAAAATTCCGAATACAGGCACAAAAAAACAAGACATTATTGATTTTATGAAGGATAAGGGAATGGAAATACCACAAAAATCAACCAAAGCCATATTATTGGATCTTATTAAAAGACAAAAATTTGAAAAAGAGTATGTTGTTGACAATCTGCTTCAGCAAAATGGCCATGAAGTATTACGTCTACCTCCCTATTACTGCATTTTTAACCCGATTGAGTTGGTCTGGGCTGCTTTAAAAAAAAAGTAAGAAAACCTAATCAGACCCCTCAATTAAGTGAATCGCTATTGGCCACAATAAGAGATGCAGTATCTCATATTGCTGCCACAGACCTATGGAAGCAGTGTTCTAGGCATATTATTGAAAAAGAAAATGAATATTGTGTTTTGCCTCCTGTAAATCCCGTTATAATTCCTCTACAAGATGACTCTAGCGACAGCTCCGAAGGCGAGGATGATATATAAATACCTATAATGTAAGTCTTTATATACCTTTTTATATACCTACCTGCTATGTAAATATTTGCCTATGTCAAACGTTGGAATTCTGTAATTTTTCCATTTCTTAACTTTCAGTCAACATAAATTAAACTCCCAATATAAGTATTTTTTATCCCAAATCAAAAAAATAAGAAGATAGTAAAATCCATGTATTGTGATATAAAAACATTATAATTATCGTTCTAAATAAATGCCGCACGCCTATGATACGTCATGAAATTACAAAGGACGCGCCGACCAAAGGTTTTTATGCTATTTCAAGTGACTTCAGATACACCATACGTCTGTGTTGATGCAGTAGCGGACGATAGGTTATGCTTCTCTCTTCCGTTTTGGTATCTGAGTATAGTTGGTCCTTTTCATCAATTTTATCCTGTTGCAATTAAAAAGAAAAAACTGATCGGATTTTGGACAACTTTTACCAAACACCGTAATTAATGGAAATTACCAAAAAAGTGCAGACAAAGCTGAATTTTAACGTGGATATATTAGAGCAGCTCCAAAAAATAATGTTGGGGAAAATTTTATTTTAAAGCGCGCAATTTTTTTTGAGGTTGAATGATAATTTTGGGAGTAAATATTTTCAAAAGCATCAAAGGCAAAAACTCTTGTACACAAGGGACGGACTCGAGCGTTCCTAGC